ATAATAATAATAATAATAATAATAATAATAATAATAATAATAATAATAACAATAATAATGATAATAATAGTATACTATAACTACATCTTTCGCTTTAATAAAATCTGACTGTGTAAAGACAATTTTTTATCGAGTAACAGTATAACGATAAGACGATCACAATAAATGACTCTGTATTCTTAACATAAACGCGAGCATGATAGCATAAAACGCGTATTTATCTACGAGCAGACGTTCCGTGGCTTAGTTAGTAACGCGTAACGAATTCATAATTCATAATTTCGAATTTTTAATTTCTCCATCAATTCTGATTCTTTGGAATCAATTAAAGAAACGTGAAAAATCGTTTTCGCGAATAACGAATTCGATGATTGGTCATTATCACCAACGATAATCGCAACAAATGTTACATTTGTCTCTCGTTACGACGATTTCAACCATGCTCACTCCGTCTACCTTGACTTTCGCTTTTTTTAAGGCAATACTCTCAACAACGTGGTCCACAAAGGGACTAATACAATACGCTTCGTGGACGACGTGTTACATCGTATTCATCGACGATTTCCGACTTGCACGGGGGAGAAGGGAGAGGGGGGGGGGCGTCGTATCGCGAGGAAAGAAGAAATAGGGGGTGGTTCGTTTTTGTACAAAATGCGAAATGGGCCGTTTTTGATTTTGTTGCAGCAATCGAGGAGGATAAGAAAGAAAAATAAAATTTTTTTTTCCTTATCTTAAAATAAGAAAAATGATCGCAATCACTATCAAAAAGACTTAAATGCACGATACATTTTTTTTTAAGCGGCGTTATGCAATTTACAAAATCGCCAACGTAAAACGTAATGTTTATAGGGACATTATTTAGCGAATAGTACCATTCATAAACCAAACGCACAGTTTTGAATCAGTGTTTGTCAAATTATTATCGATGCGTCATTGCTTTATATCTGTATCTGCTATTATTATGTATTTACAAATAATAATTACTTGCACCGCTTATTTTTACATGTAC